TGTCTCATATTGATCTGCCAGTGATTAGCATTGATTTTCGAATGTTCTGCATCAATGAACCCTCATAAAGCTTCTCTAATTAGAAATTAACACAAAAAAAATCTCTCCATTTTCAATTACGTATAAGGTTGTTCAAAAGTTAGCTAACTAATAGCATTTTGGAAATCATTACAATGGTGCTAACTGCGTTTAGGACCACCCTATATGCTGTATATAGATATAGTGTAGTAATAATTTCTTCTTCTCGTATATATACGTAAATTAAACGTTATTATCTAACAATAAAAATTCTATAATAATATGAGAAAAATCTGACTTTATTTGTGAATAAGTAAATAAATTTTGCCCTTCCTGTAGCAAATTTATAAGATCCTGCGTAGGTCTTGTAAGCCCTGTTGATCTTTAAGTCCTGAAGATAGATTTCTACAGGTCTTACAGGATAGGATTTCATTTAAAGTTGTGCAAATTGGAATCATCTAACACCTGCTACCATAGTAACAATCTTGTTTCGTGTAAAAATCGAACGTTTTTACCGCGGTTTTGCCTGTTCTCTACGTAGGATGGTTCCAACTCAGCTAACCATTTCAATACTCTTCAAACCTGTTTGGTTGATTCGCTTTTGGGCCACCCTGCATCGTGTTTTTGGAGAAAATCACGATATTATTTGAGAATTATCGAGAGAAATTCAATAATAAACAAGTCGCACAAATGCGAAAATAGTTATTAGACAGCATTGAAGATTTTAAGTAAAATTAGGAACTGTTTCCTCCGCTGTTATAGCAACAAATTGTGTTAGAGAATGGATGTTTTAGAAGGAAATTACTTCTTTTGAATCGCTAAAATTTTATTTGATCGAAATTAAAAGTGGATAGAGTTATCCGGCGACATCACTCGATCTTCCTACAAGATTTTCTCCTCCCTAAAGCATCTTATTCACTGTCTGTTCTATTGATTTCTCCCTCGGGTCCTTCTCCAAAGCCAAAAGATAACAACTTGTACATTAAAACAGCAATTTTCTTCTCCGCCAAGCAATAACAATTATAACTTTGTTTAAGGAAATTACTTGTTATTTAATTTTTAAAAAATATAAAAAGACATAGGATTTTTTTATTTCTGAAAATATTTCACAAAATTATAATTTTTTCTGCAGTTATTTTACTCACGAAGCCAACACCCGAAAAGTAAACGTAAAGATTGCTTCACTGCAATATTTATTGATGTGCAGTGAAGATAGATTTACAGGAGCTTCCGTTATTTTTTTACTCCGTGATAAAGTAAATAAATAATTTAATTTCTTTTTATTTACAGTAGAAGAGGAGAAAAATATAATTTTTTACTTTAAATAGACAGGATAATTTGTGTTTTTAGAAAAAATCGTATATTTTTAGATCAAATAAAAGCACTTGGATTATATGTTATATGAGCAAATTACTGGCCAATTATGTCTAATTTTTCGATTTTTGTAAAGTTAAATTGTTTTTAGAGCTTAAAAATAAACTTAAGCTCCATTTTTCTTAAATTCTAACAAAATAATAAGAATATTAATTTGATTTAAAGGCTAAACATTTATACAATTATCTCTATTTTTGAAAGAGTTTCGTAGCTATTTACGCGTATTCTCTACACCTTAATATAGAAAAAATGAACGTTTTTTAATCGAAAATATCAAAAAATAAACAGAATTTTTGCGATAAAAGAGTGTTTTTAATATATTTTTAAAGATTGTTTTTTTATCTTTTTCAAAATACGGGCCAATTATGTCTAATTTTTCGATTTTTGTAAAGTTAAATTGTTTTTAGAGCTTAAAAATAAACTTAAGCTTTATTTTTCTTAAATTCTAACAAAATAATAAGAATATTAATTTGATTTAAAGGCTAAACATTTATACAATTATCTCTATTTTTGAAAGAGTTTCGTAGCTATTTACGCGTATTCTCTACACCTTAATATAGAAAAAATGAACGTTTTTTAATCGAAAATATCAAAAAATAAACAGAATTTTTGCGATAAAAGNGTCTGCCTGGTAGAGAAGAATAGAAACATAAATAAATAATTGTAATATATCCCGGGAAGTAATGCCGACGGAAGAGGGACTTGAGCCCGAAACGCGTCTTGGCAAATAAAAAATTCCCAAATGAAAGTTTATGACAGAATTGCCAAGTATCTGTATAAGCACCTAGTAGTGATAACAAATTATTCACAAATAAATAACATTAGTCAGCAATTAGGCAGGCTGACACAATACACTGAAAACAACATAACACCCAAATTAAAGAAACAACTCAAAAACATTTCAAGAAAATCAAAACACACACAAAACATGAATATTACAGCACACACACTACAGAATACATCGATACACTAAAACAATAACTTGCAGCCAGAGCACGTAGACTGAAACAATACAAAACATGCACGCTACCAAAACAACAAAATAAATTATTTACAAACAATGAAAAACTCTTACAGACAAATTGGTAACAAAACAAACACATATACACAGTACAGTGGCACACCAACAGAGAAGAACTCACAACTTATCTTTAGTCTAGTACTCTAACTCACAATGCTTATGCGGGCTGGATCGAGGAGAACAAAAACTTGCACAACATACCAACTATGACCTGTGCTGAAATAAACATACACGACATCCAATACGCTGTTAACAGAACACACAACTGGAAGACACCTGGTGTAGACAACATTCACAATTTCTGGTACAAAAAGTTTACATCACTGCACCAGAAACTAGCTAAACATCTAACACACATCATCATCAATCCACAAGACATGCCAAAATTTCTTACTGAGGGCATCACCTAAATGAAACCTAAAAACAACAATACCATAGACCCCACACAATACAGACCAAATACACGTCTTCCAACATTACAAATTATTGACATCCTGTATCACAAACAAAATATACAAACANGCACACAAAAGATGTTTATAGAGGAAGAATTGAGGACGACACATTGTCTCATATTGATCTGCCAGTGATTAGCATTGATTTTCGAATGTTCTGCATCAATGAACCCTCATAAAGCTTCTCTAATTAGAAATTAACACAAAAAAAATCTCTCCATTTTCAATTACGTATAAGGTTGTTCAAAAGTTAGCTAACTAATAGCATTTTGGAAATCATTACAATGGTGCTAACTGCGTTCAGGACCACCCTATATGCTGTATATAGATATAGTGTAGTAATAATTTCTTCTTCTCGTATATATACGTAAATTAAACGTTATTATCTAACAATAAAAATTCTATAATAATATGAGAAAAATCTTACTTTATTTGTGAATAAGTAAATAAATTTTGCCCTTCCTGTAGCAAATTTATAAGATCCTGCGTAGGTCTTGTAAGCCCTGTTGATCTTTAAGTCCTGAAGATAGATTTCTACAGGTCTTACAGGATAGTATTTCATTTAAAGTTGTGCAAATTGGAATCATCTAACACCTGCTACCATAGTAACAATCTTGTTTCGTGTAAAAATCGAACGTTTTTACCGCGGTTTTGCCTGTTCTCTACGTAGGATGGTTCCAACTCAGCTAACCATTTCAATACTCTTCAAACCTGCTTGATTGATTCGCTTTTGGGCCACCCTGCATCGTGTTTTTGGAGAAAATCACGATATTATTTGAGAATTATCGAGAGAAATTCAATAATAAACAAGTCGCACAAATGCGAAAATAGTTATTAGACAGCATTGAAGATTTTAAGTAAAATTAGGAACTGTTTCCTCCGCTGTTATAGCAACAAATTGTGTTAGAGAATGGATGTTTTAGAAGGAAATTACTTCTTTTGAATCGCTAAAATTTTATTTGATCGAAATTAAAAGTGGATAGAGTTATCCGGCGACATCACTCGATCTTCCTACAAGATTTTCTCCTCCCTAAAGCATCTTATTCACTGTCTGTTCTATTGATTTCTCCCTCGGGTCCTTCTCCAAAGCCAAAAGATAACAACTTGTACATTAAAACAGCAATTTTCTTCTCCGCCAAGCAATAACAATTATAACTTTGTTTAAGGAAATTACTTGTTATTTAATTTTTAAAAAATATAAAAAGACATAGGATTTTTTTATTTCTGAAAATATTTCACAAAATTATAATTTTTTCTGCAGTTATTTTACTCACGAAGCCAACACCCGAAAAGTAAACGTAAAGATTGCTTCACTGCAATATTTATTGATGTGCAGTGAAGATAGATTTACAGGAGCTTCCGTTATTTTTTTACTCCGTGATAAAGTAAATAAATAATTTAATTTCTTTTTATTTACAGTAGAAGAGGAGAAAAATATAATTTTTTACTTTAAATAGACAGGATAATTTGTGTTTTTAGAAAAAATCGTATATTTTTAGATCAAATAAAAGCACTTGGATTATATGTTATATGAGCAAATTACTGGCCAATTATGTCTAATTTTTCGATTTTTGTAAAGTTAAATTGTTTTTAGAGCTTAAAAATAAACTTAAGCTCCATTTTTCTTAAATTCTAACAAAATAATAAGAATATTAATTTGATTTAAAGGCTAAACATTTATACAATTATCTCTATTTTTGAAAGAGTTTCGTAGCTATTTACGCGTATTCTCTACACCTTAATATAGAAAAAATGAACGTTTTTTAATCGAAAATATCAAAAAATAAACAGAATTTTTGCGATAAAAGAGTGTTTTTAATATATTTTTAAAGATTGTTTTTTTTTATCTTTTTCAAAATACGAAACCAGAAGACAATGAAACGAAACAACAATTTTGAAAATACCTGCAGAATTTCACACAAAATAAGGAAAAATTCAGAAAATTCTCAGAAATTCTACACATTCATCCTTACTTTATCGATTTTCTGTTGTTTATTCTGACTTATTTCTAAGAAAAATCTTTAGTTTTTTCTTTTCTTCCTCTTTCAAGGGTCGAAAACTTGTGCTGGATACGACTTAGATGTATATCTTTCTTATTAAAAGATACTTTTTTATTGTGTTTTATTAATTAGACCTGAGATAAAGATGCCGAAAACGGCTAAGTCTGAGAAGTACGAGTTGAATGGGCCAACTGACAACAATAGAGAATCTTACGGCTCCTTTCAACAGTCTACTGAAGATGGGGAGTTTATCATCCACCACGATCAGCTGGTGAGTACTTTTCTATCTAGGCTCCTTCTATGACTTGTTGCTCATTGTTAGCGTCCTCTTTATCTATTGAATCGCAAATGTCTCGGAGAAGCAGGGGGATACAGACACTTCAACAACAGATTTGGGCCTGACAATGGCTCCAACTCCTGCAGATGACAAATCTACTTACTTCAGAGATGGAAAGAGAAAAATAGGTAAATTTTTACTTTATTATAAATAAGGGATTGCTGCAGGCTGAAAAAAATCTACTATGGATGGCTTTTATACCTTTGTAGAAATCGTAGGAAAATTAGATTAAATTATATAAATTTAGATTTGAGCATGAGTTTTTCTTTTGGTTTTTTTTTTATTATTGATACTTTCTCCACGTTGATACAAATGAGAGAAAAGATGACTTTCGTTCAAGAGAAGCCTCATAATTTCTTTTCCTGGACGAAATCCAATAAGTGGAAAGTTCAACGACATCTTACTTCTCTCCTTGTCTTTCTCTCTTTCAACAGAAATCGTCAATTTAATGAACAGTCTTCTAAAATAAATTCTGTTCACTTGTTTATCCAGACGTCAAAGGAAGATTCAATATTATTTTTCCTACCTTCACACACCTTCCCTTTACTTTTTCTAATTTACCATCTATTCAAAGATATTTTCCAACGAAATATTCTATTTTTTAATTCTTTAGAGTGTAGCATAATTTCTCAATCATTTAGATCGATTTTTAGAATGAGAAAAGCTTGTTTAGCCTCAAAGCAAAAATTTACGGATTGACAGACTGACGAACAGTTTCTAAATACTTAATTCATTATTCATGTTACAGATTTTGTTCTGGTCTACGAAGAAGTGAGTGATGAGAACATCAAGAATCAACAGATACAAAAATCCATGAGAAAATCACAGAAACACGAAATGTGGCGACAAAAATTCATGTCGAATCTCCGCAAAGCAGGCTTGGACATGGAAGAGGTAATTCGAAACCTGTTAAATAATTCATAATTAAGAAAATCTGGCATCGTAGCTGTCCGTATGTTAGAAACTACCCGCATCTTTTCTCTTTTTCCAACTCTTTTACTAAGTTTCTTCTTAACAGCATCACTTAGTATTCTAATTCTTCTTGTGGTTATCACCTTTCTATAATTCTTACTCCTCTGTTCCTTTATTAATAGAAAGTAGTAAGAAATATAGAAGCAAATTCTTGCTTATCAGATACATACCTTGCTTCCGAATTTAGAAAATCAACGTTAAACATATTAACTTGAAAGCATGTTAGCGTTAGTGATGCGGGATTTAAATCTGGAAAACCTTAGTAAATTCAGAAAATTCTATTCTTTGAAACAGGAAGTGGTCGATGGTGACAGGAAAATCGTACACTTCATTAAACTTTCTGCACCCTGGCAAGTGCTCGTCTACTATGCGGAGATCCTTTGCATGAGGGCTCCTCTCCAGGTGAGATAAGTTGCTTGCAATGCACTTTCACAGTTTCTGATGATTCCGAGCAATCTTCTCTTCTCTAGGCTCATCCCAATCCTAGCACCAATTGGTCCGAGCGCATACTGCGTACACTGCGAATACCCAACATCATGTACGCAGACATACCCAATAAACCCCTGGACTACTACACGTGCAGATTTAAAGCTTCCAAATTGGACAAGTGAGTATCGTCTTGTTATGTGTTCTTATCCATAAACGTCTCGAATGATAAGGTTTTAATAGATTTCTAGGAAGCGAGAACCAGGAAGAGTATTTTACCACGACTCAAAGGATCCGAGTAGTGCAAGAAATACTTCAAACCGCTGTGTATGGGAAGAGGAGAAGAGCTCAACTGGGAATAGATAGATTGGTGGAAGAGGGAGTTTATACTGCTGCTTTCCCACTGCATGACCTGCATCGTGATTTTCTTCAAAAACACGATATTATTTGAGAATTATCGAGAGAAATTCAATAATAAACAAGTCGCACAAATGCGAAAATAGTTATTAGACAGCATTGAAGATTTTAATTAAAATTAGGAACTGTTTCCTCCGATATTATAGTAACAAATTGTGTTAGAGAATGGATGTTTTTAGAAGGAAATTACTTCTTTTGAATCGCTAAAATTTTATTTGATCGAAATTAAAAGTGGATAGAGTTATCCGGCGACATCACTCGATCTTCCTACAAGATTTTCTCCTCCCTAAAGCATCTTATTCACTGTCTGTTCTATTGATTTCTCCCTCGGGTCCTTCTCCAAAGCCAAAAGATAACAACTTGTACATTAAAACAGCAATTTTCTTCTCCGCCAAGCAATAACAATTATAACTTTGTTTAAGGAAATTACTTGTTATTTAATTTTTAAAAAATATAAAAAGACATAGGATTTTTTTATTTCTGAAAATATTTCACAAAATTATAATTTTTTCTGCAGTTATTTTACTCACGAAGCCAACACCCGAAAAGTAAACGTAAAGATTGCTTCACTGCAATATTTATTGATGTGCAGTGAAGATAGATTTACAGGAGCTTCCGTTATTTTTTTACTCCGTGATAAAGTAAATAAATAATTTAATTTCTTTTTATTTACAGTAGAAGAGGAGAAAAATATAATTTTTTACTTTAAATAGACAGGATAATTTGTTTTTAGAAAAAATCGTATATTTTTAGATCAAATAAAAGCACTTGGATTATATGTTATATGAGCAAATTACTGGCCAATTATGTCTAATTTTTCGATTTTTGTAAAGTTAAATTGTTTTTAGAGCTTAAAAATAAACTTAAGCTTTATTTTTCTTAAATTCTAACAAAATAATAATAATATTAATTTGATTTAAAGGCTAAACATTTATACAATTATCTCTATTTTTGAAAGAGTTTCGTAGCTATTTACGCGTATTCTCTACACCTTAATATAGAAAAAATGAACGTTTTTTAATCGAAAATATCAAAAAATAAACAGAATTTTTGCGATAAAAGAGTGTTTTTAATATATTTTTAAAGATTGTTTTTTTATCTTTTTCAAAATACGAAACCAGAAGAGAATGAAACGAAACAACAATTTTGAAAATACCTGCAGAATTTCACACAAAATAAGGAAAAATTCAGAAAATTCTCAGAAATTCTACACATTCACCCTTATTTTATCGATTTTCTGTTGTTTATTCTGACTTATTTCTAAGAAAAATCTTTAGTTTTTTCTTTTCTTCCTCTTTCAAGGGTCGAAAACTTGTGCTGGATACGACTTAGATGTATATCTTTCTTATTAAAAGATACTTTTTTATTGTGTTTTATTAATTAGACCTGAGATAAAGATGCCGAAAACGGCTAAGTCTGAGAAGTACGAGTTGAATGGGCCAACTGACAACAATAGAGAATCTTACGGCTCCTTTCAACAGTCTACTGAAGATGGGGAGTTTATCATCCACCACGATCAGCTGGTGAGTACTTTTCTATCTAGGCTCCTTCTATGACTTGTTGCTCATTGTTAGCGTCCTCTTTATCTATTGAATCGCAAATGTCTCGGAGAAGCAGGGGGATACAGACACTTCAACAACAGATTTGGGCCTGACAATGGCTCCAACTCCTGCAGATGACAAATCTACTTACTTCAGAGATGGAAAGAGAAAAATAGGTAAATTTTTACTTTATTATAAATAAGGGATTGCTGCAGGCTGAAAAAAATCTACTATGGATGGCTTTTATACCTTTGTAGAAATCGTAGGAAAATTAGATTAAATTATATAAATTTAGATTTGAGCATGAGTTTTTCTTTTGGTTTTTTTTTATTATTGATACTTTCTCCACGTTGATACAAATGAGAGAAAAGATGACTTTCGTTCAAGAGAAGCCTCATAATTTCTTTTCCTGGACGAAATCCAATAAGTGGAAAGTTCAACGACATCTTACTTCTCTCCTTGTCTTTCTCTCTTTCAACAGAAATCGTCAATTTAATGAACAGTCTTCTAAAATAAATTCTGTTCACTTGTTTATCCAGACGTCAAAGGAAGATTCAATATTATTTTTCCTACCTTCACACACCTTCCCTTTACTTTTTCTAATTTACCATCTATTCAAAGATATTTTCCAACGAAATATTCTATTTTTTAATTCTTTAGAGTGTAGCATAATTTCTCAATCATTTAGATCGATTTTTAGAATGAGAAAAGCTTGTTTAGCCTCAAAGCAAAAATTTACGGATTGACAGACTGACGAACAGTTTCTAAATACTTAATTCATTATTCATGTTACAGATTTTGTTCTGGTCTACGAAGAAGTGAGTGATGAGAACATCAAGAATCAACAGATACAAAAATCCATGAGAAAATCACAGAAACACGAAATGTGGCGACAAAAATTCATGTCGAATCTCCGCAAAGCAGGCTTGGACATGGAAGAGGTAATTCGAAACCTGTTAAATAATTCATAATTAAGAAAATCTGGCATCGTAGCTGTCCGTATGTTAGAAACTACCCGCATCTTTTCTCTTTTTCCAACTCTTTTACTAAGTTTCTTCTTAACAGCATCACTTAGTATTCTAATACTTCTTGTGGTTATCACCTTTCTATAATTCTTACTCCTCTGTTCCTTTATTAATAGAAAGTAGTAAGAAATATAGAAGCAAATTCTTGCTTATCTATATACATACCTTGCTTCCGAATTTAGAAAATCAACGTTAAACATATTAACTTGAAAGCATGTTAGCGTTAGTGATGCGGGATTTAAATCTGGAAAACCTTAGTAAATTCAGAAAATTCTATCCTTTGAAATAGGAAGTGGTCGATGGTGACAGGAAAATCGTACACTTCATTAAACTTTCTGCACCCTGGCAAGTGCTCGTCTACTATGCGGAGATCCTATGCATGAGGGCTCCTCTCCAGGTGAGATAAGTTGCTTGCAATGCACTTTCACAGTTTCTGATGATTCCGAGCAATCTTCTCTTCTCTAGGCTCATCCCAATCCTAGCACCAATTGGTCCGAGCGCATACTGCGTACACTGCGAATACCCAACATCATGTACGCAGACATACCCAATAAACCCCTGGACTACTACACGTGCAGATTTAAAGCTTCCAAATTGGACAAGTGAGTATCGTCTTGTTATGTGTTCTTATCCATAAACGTCTCGAATGATAAGGTTTTAATAGATTTCTAGGAAGCGAGAACCAGGAAGAGTATTTTACCACGACTCAAAGGATCCGAGTAGTGCAAGAAATACTTCAAACCGCTGTGTATGGGAAGAGGAGAAGAGCTCAACTGGGAATAGATAGATTGGTGGAAGAGGGAGTTTATACTGCTGCTTTCCCACTGCATGACGTGAGTATCTGTGTCGAATCTTCGGTGACAACCTACCTAGGAGCATTAACTAACTCATTCGCATACAGGGCCCTTATCAGAAACCCACTCACTACGTTTTGCCCGATTGCCTAAACAGGAGGCAAATCTTATACGAATATTGGGCCAGATGGGGAAGGTGGTACAAGTATCAACCTCTAGATCACATTAGAGAATATTTTGGAGAGAAAATTGGAATCTACTTCGCATGGTTAGGTGTGTGTAACGTAATTAGGTGTGTGCATCTCTGCATCAATTCTTATCTTTAACTCTTCATTTTCTTGAAGGGTTCTACACGGGTTGGTTGCTACCTGCAGCAGTAGTCGGTTTAATCGTCTTTCTTTATGGTGTGTTGACCATGAAAGAGGATTCACCCTCGTAAGTGCATGTGTCATTGTCTTTTAAAATACTTTTTCATATTTCAGTAGATTTTTTTCAAACAGTAACGAGGTATGCCAAAGTGAGAAGAAGTATAAAATGTGTCCGTGGTGTGACGGTTGCCCTTTCTGGTACCTCAGCGACATTTGTTTTTTTAGCAAGTTATCTTACTTGTTCGATCATCCAGGAACCGTTTTTTATGCAGTTTTCGTCTCATTCTGGGGTAAGTACAACAAAAGCTATCGGTATACGCGGTGCTATAAGCTTTTAGTATAGAAATTACAGTCGGCTCCCTATAACACTGTTGATAATTCCGTTTTATATGAATTCCATGTTGTACGATCACTTAGATTTACAAATACAAATGCCAGGCTGTGAACGGCTCACGTATTTGTAAATCTAAGTGACTCGTACAACATGGAATTCATATAAAACGGAATTATCAACAGTGTTATAGGGGGTCGACTGTACTCGAATCTACCTTAAAAATTTCTTACAAAAATTATCACGAATAACGGGATATATATAAATACACAGTCGAACCTCCAGTGACGGCCATCTTTGAACGGCGGCCATTTTTGAAGGAACGTCGAACAAAAATTTATACAAAATAACCTCCAAACAACAGGCATTTTATGTTCTCGCCAGTGGCCGGTGTTCAGAGATTTGACTGTGTATATATTTTTTTCAGCTGTGACGTTTCTAGAACATTGGAAAAGAAAAAGTGCCAGTCTCGCCCATCATTGGGATTGCATGGATTTTGAGGAGGAGGAGGTAATTCACTCATTGTTTTCCTACACCGAGTTCGACACGGTTAAATAGTCCTATTTTACATATTTTAGGAGAGGCCCCGTCCAGATTTCGCCGCAAGGGCTCCTTTTGTGGAGAGAAATCCAATAACTGGAATTAAGGAACCATCATTTCCGAACTCCATCCGTCGACAGAGGATGGCTGCTGGAGTCGGTGTCATTTGTATCATGGTAAGCGGCTTTAATCATTTTAATTTTCTTACCCATAGTTCTGAATACTGTAAAACAGCTATACAATGGTGTAGCGGATAAAACAAAATTAATATAGGCCTACACAGCGTGGAAACATGGTAAAGTATATAAAAAGAGCTCTGGGCTATATCTTATCTATTAAAAGTGAATTATTGTAAGAAGCTATCAGTTAGATAGACAGAGTCGCTATCTTTTTGTAATTAAAAAAGTGATGCGCTATACCATAAAATGAGATGAATANAAACAAAAAATGGGAGAACAGAATTTTTCTAAATTATTTATATCTCATCGCATCATCCATCAAGAAAATCTATGTGCAAAAGCTATGCAATTAGAAAATGTAATATCTGTCGTATCCAACTACATAGTGATGTTTTTATTGTGTTTAAAGTCACTTAGATTTTACAAATAGGTGAGCCGTTCACAGCCCGGCACACGCATTTGTAAAATCTAAGTGACTCATACAACATGGAATTCATATAAAACTGAATAATCAACAGTGTTATAGGGGAGGTCGACTGTAGTAATTAATTTCTTTTTATTTATTTATTTCATATTTGCAGACTAAAAATTTACAGGTCACAAGGTGTCAATTAACTTCTATGGCCCGCGGAAAAAACGAAAAATTTATTCTGGCCCATGTTATAAAAAAGGTTGCTCACCCTTGATCTATAGCATAGTATTAGTATGGATGAGGAACAATAACAGTGAAAAAAAACAATATTTCTTTCACAAGGCAATATTTATTTAATATCTTTCATAAGGCGATATTCATAACAATATTTATTTAAACTTGCTGACATTACGCAAAAGAAAATTTACATCGTAAATTAATTTAAAATTGAAACAACCTTTAAATATAATCTAGGGGATTTTAGTAGATTTTTAACCATTAAAGTTGGCAACATTAATCAGATTAAACCTATAGTTAATGTTGCCAGCTTTAATTTATTTATTTAAGATGATAAGAATATATTAAATAATAATTTAAGAAAATAAATTTTATTTATATTACTGAACGTAAGTTTTATGTTCTATTATTTATGTTACTTAACTTTTATTTAAAGTTTTATAAAACTAATTTTGAATTTTTTAAAGCCGATTAACATTCTAAAGATTCTATACAAAGTATAAAATCTTTAGAATGTTGCCAACTCGTTACAACTAAAAACCCTTTAATAATAAGTAACTTAGTTATATACCGTAAAGCGGGGTTACTTTGTGCACTGCAGGAGTAACTTTCTGGCATACTAGAACGACTTGGTTTGAATCTTGCGGGTTTATATCAATTTTGAAATTTATTTGAGGGTAATATAGCGATAACCTAAAGAAAAAGACCAAATCGGGTACCGAAGATCTAATTTGCATAATAAATCCACAGCTTCAGAGAGGCAAAAGAACGATTTTCGATTTTGCAGAAATGGCTTTTGTTATTCAGTTCTATTACTCTCTTAGTCTTGAAAAACCATTTTATACATTCAATATCAAGTTGTCAGCAAGTTTTCCTTTTTTCTGGTACTAATAAAAGATATTTTAATTAATAAACGCCTTTTTCCTTTCTTTCCTTTCCTCCCTTTTTCTTTCTTGCTAGCAATCACCACGTAGTAACGTGACAATATATATTTATGCAGCAAAACAGGATGTGTCATAAAGTTACTTCCTAACGATGGGGTAAAATTGTAACACATACTTTTTACAATATTGGTTAAAATAATAAATTAACAATTAAGAATTCTATGTATAAAGAAAGAGAAATAGAAAATAATTCCACAAATGACAACTAACGATATGTTTGGCCCAATAATCCAGTAATTAACATCAAGAGAAAACGCGAAAAGTGTCACAAAATAACCCTGGTAACAGAAATTATTTTTGGCATTTATAATAATTTAAGTTTATGTAAATAACACTAATTAAATTGATTTTCTTTCAAGTTTTAACAGGATCAATAAAAAAACGAATTCTTCTTTATCCTCGCCTTTTCCCATGTTTATATAGGGCCGTCGTTTCCTTCTCTAATACGTTTCTTCCATTACTCCCTATTTAGGGCTTCTTCTATCTTAAGTTCCCTCTGGTTCGAGTCTTCTTCCACCTTATCTTTCCAACGCATCTTTGGTCTTCCTCTTTTCCTCTTTCCTTTTATTACCGGTTTTCCGATCATCTCTCCAACATAATTGTCGCTTCTTCGCTCTACTTGGCCAAACCACCTCAACCTGCATTCTTGCATCTTTTTAATCCAGGTGCCCACCTTAACAGAACCGCTGATAAAATTGTTCCTTATTCTATCCTTCCTTGACACTCCACACACCCAAAAAACAAAGATGGAGGTGGCGGAGATGAGAATGTCGAGACGGATGTCTCGACATTCTCATCTCCGCCACCTCCATCTTTCTTTTTTGGGCTTTTGTTATTGCCCGTGTCTCCGCTCCATATAACATTGCGGGTTTAACAACCGATTTATACAATTTTCCTTTCGGATTGCGGCTAACTTTCTTGTCGCATAACAAGCCGCTTAGCTTCTTCCAGTTCGTCCATCCACATTGAATTCTATGCTGCACTTCCGACTTCAATCTTCCTCCCATCTCGACAAATGTCCCAAGATATTTAAAACTCGGAACCAAAGGGAGCGGCACGTTTTGGATTTTAATAATTACACTCGTCCCTATCATTCAGAGTCATATAAGCTATTTTAGTTCTTCTATTCCTCATGCCCCTTTCTTCCAAAACTTTCCTCCACTCTTCCAGTTTCTTCTCAGCCTTGGTTTGGGAAAGTTCACACGGCACAATATCATCCGCAAACAGCGTACTCCACGGAGCCTCACACTTCACGTCACACACCATCACGTCTATTATCGGGTCAAACAAATAAGGGGTAAAGGCTGATCCCTGATGCAAATCAACATTAACGAAGAACCCTTCTGTAGTGCCCACACTGCTCTTAACTTGGGTCTCCGCTCCTTCGTACATTTCTTTGACGAGCCTAACATAGTTTTCTGGAACATTCTTTTTCCTCAAACATCTCCATACCTTGGTACCCAATCATACGCCTTTTCTAGATCTATGAGCACCATGTGCAAATCTTCCTGTATTTCCCTGTGCATTTCCATCAGATGTTTCAAAACAAAAATAGCATCAGTCGTACCATTTCCGGCATAAAACTATTCCTCTCCAATCTCAGATTCCTGTCTAATCCTTCTTTCGAAAATTTTCTCCCAAATCTTCATAGTACGAGACAATATCTTTATACCTCTGTAATATCCGCAGTTTTGTACATCTCCTTTACCTTTAAAGACCGGCACAAGAGTGCTCTTCCTCCATTCATCTGGGATCGTCTCCTGCTGTCAGAGTTTCGTCATAAGGTCCCAGAGGATATCAATTCCCTCCTTACCCAAACCTCGCCAAGCCTCAACCCGAATCCGATCAGTGCCTACTGCTTTCCCCATCTTCATTTTTCTAAGCACACTTTCCACTTCTTCTCTGCTAATATCTTGCACCACTCTTTCATTTGCCTCTTCATTCTCGTATAAAATTCTGGGGTTTTCTTCATTCAATAAATTCCTGAAATACTCTTTCCATCTTTCCTTAACTCTGTGGTAATCTTGTAATACCACTCCTTTATCATCTTTAATCAGTTTAATAGAGGTAAAATCTTTTGATGCCTTACCTCTTCCTTTGACAATTCTCATCAACTGCCTTTCACCACCTTTCCTTTCGAAAACTTTATAAGTCTCTTCTAAAGCCTTTGCTTTCGTAATAGCCACCACATTTTTAATCATTTTATTTGCCAAATAGTGAGTTTCTTTATCTTCCGTCCTTCTCATCAAATCCCACCTTTTCATTGCCTCTTTCTTTTGTTTAACTGCGGCTTGTACCTCGGCATTCCACCACCAAAGTTCCTTTCCTTCTGGCGATCTCTTCCCTGAAGTTTTTCCCAAAATCTCTTCTCCAACTTTCAAGATGCAATTACTATTCAGCCATCACCATTTTTGCACATCATCCGAAAAAATAGATTTCTTTTGACACTTACCTTAAACTCTTTCCTTAATTCCTCCTCTTTCAATCTCCATCATTTGATCCTTTGTTCAATCTGGCTAACACAATTCTTACAATGGCCTATAAGAAAGTCACAATCCACCAGGAGGACTCTATGTTGTGCAGCAACACTTTCTCCATTTAACACCTTACTGTTTCTCACTTTTCTCGGATGTCTTCTGCGGCACAAGAAAAAATCAATCTGGTTGGAAATACCTCCACTCATGTATGAAATCAGTTGGTTCGCTTTCTTCTCAAAGTAGGTGTTAACTATCGCAAGGTCAAAAGCCACAGCATATGATCGACTAGTCTTTCTTCCTCTCCATTTCTTTCTCCCACACCCCACCGCCCAAGAACTCTTATTTTCGCATTCTTCCTCTTCTCAACATGACCATTTAAACCCCACCCACAGATTAATCTCTCGTTCATAGGAACACACATTATAACTTGGTCAAGATCTGTCCAAAAGTTTGTCTTTTCTTCTTCACCACTACCTGGCTGAGATGCCTACACACACACAATCGTAATGAAAATTCCACCAACGTCCAACTTAACGCTCATAATTCTATCACACCTTCGTTTAATCTGACAGACTCTGTCTCTGAACTTTATCAGTTACGATACCGACTCCATTCCTTCCTGCCTTGTTCGCTCCACTCACAAACAGCTTGTACCCTTTACCAAGTTTTTTAGCTTTATTTCCTTTCCATCTTGGAGGCGCAAAATGTTCACTCTCCTTCTTTGCATAAGATCCACCAACTCTCTACTCTTCCCATTCAATGTTCCGATGTTTAAAGTACCTATTCTTATACTTGTCTTCTTCCTCTTCTCTTTCTGGACTAACTTCTTTATCCGAACCCGTTTTTGGTTCGGTAGCCTCAGCTCATTTGACATAGTTTTCGGGCGACATGACTGCGCATCGCTTTTAATCCATTTCTGGGGGGACGTTTTAACACAGTTATAGCTTACTTCCAAGTAGTTTTGGCATAGGTTTTACGGCCGGATGCCCAACCCTATTTGTTTTAAGGCTAAATATATTTATATATATTTTGTTCTAATATTCAAACCACAACGGTTATCAAACTCCGTTCGGTAACCGTTTGGATACGTGTATTTTTTAATAATAAATGAANAGTTTAGATAATTTCAATTTATAGATAAACTGGATGAAGAATATATTAAAACTTCAGTTTTTAAGTATTTAATATACTCGAAACTTTTGTAAATTGACCCTTTATAATCTCAATTTTTACATAAAAAGATCCGAGAAAAATTAATTATTGATGGGGCTCGATACGGTACCCTAGCGTTGGAAGCTGAGTCGACAATATACCACTCGGCCACGTCAAACTTCTTAAGCAATAAAGTTTATGGAGAGAAGTAAACAAAAACAGATAGTTAATACAAAATTTGATTATCTTCCATTGTAGCACGTAGTGTTTGTTGTGTGCAAGATGATCGATGTCTTGGTGCCGGATATACCGAAAACACTGGAAATGAAGATCAAACGAGAAAGATATTTAGCGAAACAAGCTCTCGCTGACTCTGATACCATTATGAAGGTAACGTTATTTTACACTAATGCTGTTCAATTAACACTTGAATAACAACATTTTCTTATCTGATTTTGTAATGAAGTGGGTGTTGCTTGGAGATGAAGGAAATTTTGAATGTTTAATTTAGTGATATTGCTATAAATATACACTATTTACGTGTGTTGTGTGATTAAATTTATTAGCTTATGTATACAGTATGGTAGACTTATTATCTGGAATGAATGGGAAAAATGCCATTCCGGTTAATTCAGTAGCATTTAAGTCCTGCGCTCAGTAAATGGAACAGGTAAATTTTCATAGAAACGTGAAGAGAAAAAACGCATGCAACTTACTGTTAATAATTTGGATATAGAAGACTGGATGGCCGAAGTGGTGTCATTCTATTGCTCTGGAGGATCTGGATCGAATCCATGCCATCGGAAAACCCTAGGTCCATTCCTCGTCGTGCATTCCTCTCCACTGTGGGTCTGGCAGAATCCACAATGGATATGAAAAAAGCACGTTTTTGAGTCCACACGGCAGGAACAAAATCTCGATAGTTCAGCAAAGTATATTGCTCATTCTCCCATCCTCTGATCAATAGCTTATAAAACGATTTGTGACAACTTCAAGTAACTCATACATAGGCATTTTTGGCATACCGGATAATCGAGAGTCTACTGTATATGTGTTTATCTACATTGTGTGCGCATGCATGCATGTTGGTTTGCTTAAGTATTTATACATATCTGCACACTGTATGTTTGCTATCTGTATATTTGTACTTTCTGTATATACTGTATTTGTGTTCGTTCATATATTAAATTGTGTACGTGTATTTAAGTGCATGTTGATAAGTAAGTGTAGTATTAAATGTGTAGTGTAGTTTGCCACTTATTATGCTACGTGTTTACAGGGTGATTTTTAATTCACGCAAAACTTTAAATTTTAATAACTTTTACCCGAATGAGATAGAAATAAAATTTAAAAAGTACTTTATAGAACAATCTTTACATTTTCAATGTCAATGATTGATTAATGTTGTGAGCTAGAATAATACTACATAGAGTGGCTGTGATCTTGGTGACAACGACGAGAACTATCGACGAGTCAGAATATTTCTGTTCGTTGCCCTTAAAAACACAAATGCCTTCCCCTTTGACTAAAAGGAAAATGGCAGACGTGTATTCAATTTCACTTCAGCCATCTATGTAGTATATTCTAGCTCGTTGGATTAATGTTAACAGTCATTTTCAATTGGTGGCACTCAATTTAGAACAATGTGTTTATTTTAAAAAATTATCATAAAAAATCTAATTTTCTATTTGATGTTTCATCAGAGCAGAGTTATTGAACCATTTTTCTTTAAAAAGAACGTTATTTCTGCTGTATATGTTGAATTATTGAAAAAGAAGTTTTATTCCAAAATGCTTGTTGGGCATAAACATCGGCGTGCTTGATTTATGCAAGATGGCGCAAAGCCCCATCGCACAAAGCAAATGATTAATAGCCTTTACAGCATGTTTAAGAAGCATGTAATCGGATTAAATTATGAAAAATATGTTAGCGGTGGCGTGGAGTGGTTGCCTTATAGCTCCGACTTAAACCCGTGTGATTTTGTAATTTTTTTTTATGGGGCTATCTTATAAACAGAGTATATAACAATGCTCCTACAACTATTGAAGTGCTGATAGACACAATAAGAAAAAAAAAAAATAATGGAATTTCAAGAAAGACCTTTATTACCGTTATTGAATGTTTCAAAATCGGGTAAAAACTATTATTGCGAGCGAAGGTAGTCATTTTGAAAACCTAATTCATTAAATGGCAATAAATTCTGTATAATGTAATGTGCTTTTTGAACTGTTTTTAAATCGCATATAGCTGAAAAGTTACTAAAGTTTAAAGTTTTGCGCCCTATATGTTTGAGAGCGTATACTCTATGTATAAACAATACATGTGTTCGTTTGTGTTTACACGTTTAGTCAATGTATGTAAAGTCTGTTTTGCCAGCATGTTTATATGTAAATTTTTGTTTGTGATGTGTGTATAGTATTTTGTATCTTATCAATGCCTGCTTATTATCTGTTATACAGTATACAAGTACGTCTATGATTTATGTATTGTCGATCTTGTAGGCACTTTTTGTATTCTTATGTATGAACTGTATGTACTGTACGCATATATTTTTAATCAATACGTAGAAAAACACTGAAATTTAATAGAAATTTCAGGAAAGGACAGAGAATCTAAATTAGTCTCTCTGTCCTTTCCAAAAGTGCTTCCAGAAATAATTCCCAAAATTCAAGTTTTCGTGTCAAATAGCTCGCGAATGCGTTATCTTCTACGATACGATCATTAAAAACTACGCATGGTTTTCCAGGTTGCCCAAAGAAAAGATGATGATGACGATGAAGATTTTTCTAATCATGGAACGAGTGCATAAAATCATCCACTCTCTCTAATAACATATGATTAATTCAAAGTCTTCTTCAATACTTGCTTTACTGAAATGTTTATCGACAAAATCATTTTATTGTTACCTTCCTAGCAGATTTAACATTATAAGTAATCTTCATCTGGATGATAGACTCATCTGTCTTTCAGAGAATAATTATTATACATAATGAATGTTTTATAGTGCAAACCAGTGGTGGAGATAGTTTAGATAATTTCAATTTATAGATAAACTGGATGAAGAATATATTAAAACTTCAGTTTTTAAGTATTTAATATACTCGAAACTTTTGTAAATTTTGCAAATTGACCCTTTATAATCTCAATTTTTACAAAAAAGATCCGAGAAAAATTAATTATTGATGGGGCTCGATACGGTACCCTAGCGTTGGAAGCTGAGTCGACAATATACCACTCGGCCACGTCAAATATACATTAAAGAATCATGCAAAGTTAAAAAAAATTGCTGAAAACACTTACTTCTCCACCACTGTAGCATTTTCTTTGTCGATTTTATTTATGCATAATTTGCATAATTTCGTCTACGGAAAGTCGATGTTACTTATTTTTTCGCTGATATACACGCAACGATGGCGGAGTTACAATGAATTGGATATGCATTAACACCAGCAATTGGTTGTAAATTTGAATTTCATGACATCCCACTACGTTCTGGTTGCTTTAAAATGCCCCAACTGTTGTTTATCCTTAAGGATTAATCCTTAAACTTCTATAAAGGCTGCTACTCTGTACCAATTTTCCTAAAACTTGGAAGTTGGTCTTGCCAAATTTAATCGAAGAAAAAACTATTTTTTAAGTAGGTGATTGCTTCATTTCAATCGAGGCCCTCCTACGCCCTATACAAATGATTCTTTTAAGGGTCATTTAAGGCAGCTTTCCCTTTTATAAATATATATATATATATAAAAACATGTATTTTGCAGCCAATTTTCCTATGTGATATGCACTGTCGTGACAAAGAAATTATTAAAATTTTGTGCATCTAAAGTGAAATTCTCTCTATATATCAGGAAAATTTCGTAAAAATCAAGCTTTGTATTTCTCTATAGTTTCCTCCTCTGCTTCGTTGAGGATTTGTACAGTTTGTAAATAAATATTTTCTGGTTTATGCAGATGTATATACCGAAATATGTTTACAGTATGTAACATTATACTAATATATAAATATACCGTATATATATACAGAGAAAAATTAAGCGTGTGTTGTCCATCTTTAAAGTATGATCCGTATTNACTATTGGTCCAGATTCTATCTAATATGGTGAGAAACGACGTTATAGGAGGTACTTTATACGAATGTTGCTACAATTTTTTCGCTACGTTATAGGAATTTCCGTTATAGGAACGCGCGTTATAGGGGGGTCGACTGTATTCTTTACTTTTTAAATCTTAAAACAATGCACTTAGTCAAATAGTGGCTAATGGATGAAATCGAAGACGATTGCAGAGTGTGCATAAATGCGGACTGCCAAATCTCCAGGGTGCCGATACCGGTCAATGTCAAATACCTCTTTTGTTACATCACTAGTATATCTCATAGGACGCGACGGGGCCATTGTAGATTTTAAACGTTTCTCACCATAGCTGTAAAAATCTAAATATGTTAAACTTAATAGTCATTTGTTTTCTAGCTAATTTGTTTTAGGACCGAGTGTCCTCGGAAATTTCCAAAATTTACAACTTTTCGGTCACTCTTGTCAAACCGGAAAAATTTCTGTCTTTATTACATTAATAATATGAAGAAATCAGTCTCCACCGTACTCGGCTGGAGATTGTTCGATTAAGCTTTTGTTTAAGTAAAATTTTGGCTCTTTCATCGGGGTTTTGTTTATGTCCCCAGTTCCCTAATCGCTTAATTATTTAACNGTACTCGGCTGGAGATTGTTCGATTAAGCTTTTGTTTAAGTAAAATTTTGGCTCTTTCATCGGGGTTTTGTTTATGTCCCCAGTTCCCTAATCGCTTAATTATTTAACTACTACTTAAGTAGAAATAAGTCAAAAGCGGTTACTTCGTACTCGAATATTTGTAGTCTTGGGAAACAAGTGGAAAGACAAATTTTTATGACAAACAGATACATAAATTTTAAATGTAAGGAAAATATATTCTAGAGCTTTTTCTGTACCTCGTGCATCTCTCTCATTCGTTAAATTTAGTTGTAAATGATGCTGTCAAAGTAACAGTTAATTTTTTAACATTATACAAGAACTGTACACGTTTTTTTTTACATCCCCTTAAAGATGGGATATACGAAATCGTAATATCACCTGTTTAACATTGAAATCCGTGAGTAATATAAAATCGGGGAGCGGAATAAAAATATCAAATATTTTAATGGATTTTTTTTAAACCCCTGTCAACTATACAGAACTATCATAAAAACATACCAGCAAATTCCTATTGGTTGGGTTAAGTTATAAATCTACTCGTGATTCGCGTAATTGGGTGAGGGTGGCCAAATACCTAGCAGGCACAGAACTGGTCCTGGATAGAATTGGATGCAGTATACGTGTAGCATCCACCCAAGGTCCTTAACTTACATCTCTACAGCCATTTGAAGGTCAAAAATGACATTTCTGGCCTTATACCATATTAGAAGCAAGATAGATGATTAAAAATATTAAGAATATCATTCCAAGCCATTTCTGTAACTACTAGTTTTTGTAGAATCTGATTAGAAATACATAAATTCTTTAGTCCACACCAAAAAACCAGGATAGTATCTTATGCAAAGGCATTAAAATTTGGTTGACCAGGTCACTAGAAGAATAAACAAATTATTCTGACAATTTTGGCCTATTTTTGGAAGCATTAATACTTTTAAATACAAATTAAAAAATTTACAAACAGTCAATAAATAAAGTTTCCAAAGCCTGGTCAATTGTATTTTGACCAGGCTTTGGAAACTTTAGTCTTAAATCAATATAAATTGAACATAAGAAGTGCTTTTGAATAACGAATAAATAAATAAGCAGATTAACACATTTCAGTTTAGATAAATTGTCTTTTGTTTACTTAATAGTAACTTTGTGGCTGTTTAAATAAGCAAAAGATAAGCAGAATAAATACAGTTTAAGTAAATGTTTATCAAGGAAGCAATAAAACAAAATCATATAAATTTATCCAGATGATGAATCAAAGCTTCCTATTTCTTATCAAGTTTTTGTTTAATTTCTACTTTTTCCTTGTTTGTAGATGAATATTCTTTGAGATTATATTTAAAATTTCAAATGTTATCTTTTAGTTCTGAAGAATAAAATGCCAAAATTTATTGCAAGCCAATTTTTTTGGTATTTAAATAAAAATTAAGTATTGCTAGGTTGAAAATTGCATAATTTATTATATAATTTGGAATATAGATGTTGAAAATCGTATTCTTGTATTTTAATAATTTTAGAAACCTTTAAGAGGAAGGAATGATTTGGAGCAGTATTCAGACCTCACTGGCTCATTCTTTTGTAGGCATTGTGGATTCAAAAATACCACGACTCTTTTGTAGAATGGCCCAGAAGAGGTTCAAATTCTGTTCATTCAAATCTTTTCTGGATTGTTTTTTAAGGGAGCTGTGAAATTTTGAATCTGCTATGTTTTACCTTATGTTGCAATCTTTAATGAAATTGTTGGATATATGATTGGAAAGTAGCAAAAAACTGATAACAAATTTTAAATTTATTCTGTATCATTCAATTCAGAGCTTACAATTTAATAGCATACAACAAGTTTAGCTTTCAATCGTTTGTTTTGTAGGTTGATGAACAGATTACAAGAGGAAAGTTTAATAGATTTATTCAATAGAACCTTATTCTTTGATTTATTCTATATTATGACTCCTCTCTCAATAAGTGTTCAATTTATTTTAGTAATTATAATAGATTTGAACAAACATCACTTTATGTTAATAATTTACATTCATTTAATTTAGTTACAGTCGCTGGTTTCATCCAAACATCTCAAGAATCGGAGCAGAGAGACTGCTGACCGAGAGGGGATTTGATGGTAGCTTTATAGCTCGTCCCAGCAAGTCCAATCCGGGAGATTTTACATTATCTGTTCGGTAAGGAAATAAAATTTGATTAACACTGTGTAAATTTAGTGTTTGTTATTTCATAATTTTATACCAAAATTTTTGTTTTCTCACTCACTGATAAACAGTTAATAATTATACAATCCTTAAAAATTTTGTTGACATCAATAATAGGGATATATATTAAGATATAATTAACATTTTAATTTGCAACACTATTGTTTTGAAAAAAATATTTTCTAATTATAGACGAAATGGTGAGGTGACACATATCAAAATTCAAAACACTGGCGACTACTATGATCTTTATGGAGGGGAGAAGTTTGCCACGCTAGCTGAATTGGTGCAGTATTATATGGAAAAGCAGGGACAGCTACGAGAAAAAAATGGTGAAATTATTGAACTAAAGTATCCTCTTGTCTGTGCGGATCCCACCACTGAAAGGTGAATGAATTTTCAAATTTTTTTATTCTAAAGATATTTCAGTTTTTGTTGATATGTGAAAATAGTTTAATTTGGAAAACAATGAATAAACAGATTGTCATAGGATCCTAATCAGAGATGTTTCTGCATCTTCTTCAGTTTATTTTCAGTTATATTTTCTATTGTTAGTAACATAATGACATAAAAGTAGTTAAAGACAAACCTACTGTATATATACAAATATAAACATCCAAACCCAATAGTTATATATTAAAGTCGAATGATTGCCGAATTATATCGAGCTGTATTACTACTGCTATTATTAATTAAATGCTAAGTACTTAGGTGCCATATCTTATCTATTAGTAATATAGACTGATATAATTTAGCAATTGTTTGGCTTTAAGATAAACCTGTTTTTAATATTGATGAATCAATGTATGTATTTATGGTTCCCAAAGCTGATGTTAGCATCATGCACTTTTTAATGTACAGATCGGTTAACGAACAGATCGGATAACGAACACTTTCGCGAAAGATTTTTATGTTCGGACAACGAACACATGATCGAATTATGAGCACACCATAGAACAAACACAAGAAGAAGCGATGTAANTTTAAATTAAATTACATTGAAATGAAAAAAACTAGATGGGAAAATATTTAAAAATTCAACACTAGAGGAGCCACAATCGGCAATGTAACGGTATTTCCCGAATGATTAACGATCTTTTATTATTTTTTTTATTCTACGAATCAACATGTCAACCGGGTATTTTATTTAATATGGATAAATTATTTACAGTAATAATAAAATAACTGGAATAGCAACGACTGTCGAGAAATGTTTTTATGATTGAAATTGATTACTTAGGTAGCATCGTGTCGTGTAAGCTGTTACTTCTATGGGAATAAATGAGTGCAGTTGTTGCATCGAAGGGTGTTGGTTTCTGCTAAATCATGAAGCTCTACGACATTTTCATGCGCTTTTCCGGTTTTTAATGAGGTTATAAACGGAAATTGGGAGTTAAATTAACAAGAAATGACTTCTAGAAGGTAAATATAAACAGTTTTATTCACTAAGTTAGTAAGCACATGACTTCTTACTGTTTACATTGAAAGATATGCTGCTAATTAAATTAATTAAGTGCAAAATGCATGAAATGAATGAAAAATGCAACTGAGAAAGGCGTGATTTCTTCCCATTATCTATGTTTTCTGTATTTATTTTGCATTTTGGACATCACTTCATGTTTATAACATAATTATCCATGTGAGTGATTGTTATTCGGGTAGCATTTATTGCTTATTTGAGCTATTTAAAGCAAAATTGCATTAAATTAATATATAACGGATGCCTTAACGTTGCTTTAAAAGTCCAGTAATGAACGAGTGGATCGAGCCACCGAACGCTAGTGGTTTGCACCCGACCGATAGGAGGACCGCGTGGAATTTTCCAGGTTTCTACGCGTTAAACATCAAAGAGCACGCTTAGAAATTCTAACTGGTAATGCCACAATAGCGGTGAACGACGTCGTTGGTCGTAGCCGGTTATTCTATTACCGCTATGACCCACTGCTGGTTATTTTGTGGTGGAAAGTTGACAGGAAGCGATATCGTTCGCTTTTCCTGTCGTTGCTCTCAAATATCGATTCGGAGTCGTACGATGATGAAGATTTGACAAGTTTGTCGGAAGATGAAATGAACTTGTAAAATTTTTGGACGAGTGTCGGAGAAAAATGTATCTTTATTTAGTTTATACTGTGAAATCGATAATTTCGCAGCATTTGCTGGCCGTTGACAGTTCTGTCCTGCCCCGTCTGAAATTAGAGACGACGTGACTTTCTGTTCTTGGTCGCTTTGTGCCATGGAAACAAAATGCTGATGTTTGGAAACAAGATTATGTTGGTTTAATGCATAAGAAATAATATATCCGTGATGCGTTTTAGGTAAGATTTCTTAATTTGATGCATAAGAGGTTTGTTAATATATTATTACACATATTAATTTTATTGGTATGTAGAGATGTATGGCTTTTTATAATGTGTTAATACATAAACTCCATTTTTACTAATACAGTAATGTATATTTCATATTACATATGCACATATTTATGTTGAGCTTTTCTTTCCTGAGTTAATTGTGTTTTTATATTTCATTGGCATACGTATCATGCTAAACATTAATTTAAATGAATTCTTAAAAATTACTGTATTCATTGTTGCAAATATATAATTAAGAATGTCTTTAGATTTCTGATTTGTTTAGAAATGATATAATTAGAACAAGTATATGTGTTTGTGCTTAATTTATCTGTTAGATGTACTTAAGCATTTAATAGATTGAATACTTTCCTTATATACGGATCTAATATATGCTTGTTTTTCAAGATTATCTGCAACCTATTTTGGCATTAATGTGTTTCTGCAGAGGTAAGTTAAGCAAAAAGGACTATTTGCACAAATTACATATGTATTTACTTACATGTGTAAATACACATGTAAGTAAATACACACTTAATTACACATTAAGTAAATACATGTGTATTTACTTAATTACACATGTATTTCATCTTGGATATTTTTGATAAAGGTAATTGTAATCCACAATACTAATGTTATGTACGTACATTCAAAATAACATATGCTTACATTTAAGCATAAAATCCACATTGATATATAGAGTATGTTCAATTGTATAAATAGAGAGTGCGGCTTTGTCTTACGTATTATCAGCTGTTAATGTCAAGTTCAAATACTCATAAGTATAAAATAATCATCTTGATGCAGATAGATTTGCTATATCTTAATGATATATGGCATATATTCCAGGTGACAAAGCAAATGTATGTTTGTACTGTCACAATGATGATGATTTCATATCATCTGAGTAGAGGCTTGCATGTGATTGCAATCTTTCAAAACTTGCTTCTGTAACTGGGAAAAAGTATATAATAATTTTTTGTTGCTTTTGCACTTCACTATTTATTTGTGGTTCTTTTTTACTCTTAGAGGTACTAAATTGGATTTTGAAAGTGGGTGATGCTACATATTCATTAAGTTCTTGTCTGTGATAGCAATGTGTGGATATTCCAGCTTAATATCTTAGTTTTCTTCTTGCATAACTAAAATTCCCAAACTTTTCTGGAAAGGAATGTTAATTTAACCAAGATAGTCATTGCTCTGCTTCATAAATTATAAATAAGGCAGAAATGAGCTTCTATGATTTCTTTGCCGAGCGTTATTTTTATTGCTATGCCGTGTTATACTACAAAATCTTCAATTGCTTAATGCATATCAAGAATTTACACATAAATTGGACAATAAATTTTACATTAATTAAATTAATTTTTTGAATATTTTAAAATATATAAAGTGTATAATTAATATATAATTGTTCTATCATGTTTTGATATGTACTGTACTATTAATATAAAAAAATTACATTATTTATCAGCAAATTACCCTATATTTTGCCTTATTCTCTTCAATGAGTTATGTACAACAACATTCTTCATTCTTAGAACTTATCTAGAGCTTTAATATAAACATATTTTCTTAATTACTTTAAAAATTAGTCTTCTAGACACATGAATCATTAATTAATTAAAAAAACTATCTTAAAGAAATAAAATTAATTTATTTAAACATTCTTTTAAAGTGGTATCTTTATATATTTAAAAATTACAATATAGTTTTAGAACGACATTATTAAGTAAATTTGCAGTCACTCGTGCTTGGTTGCCAAGCTCGACCGGGGATTTAATTTGCTAAATTGCTTATGACTCATCAATCTTAACACAACCTAAATAGTTGCTAGTTCTTTAAATATCAATATTCTCTCTTAATTGGATGTATTCGTCTCCAAAGTTAATTTTTTTTAATCATTAAATAAGGCACTACAGGTTCTTGTGACTGAATTTTCACATAGAAAATTACATTTTTTTAGGATATTGCGGAGAAATTAGAACTGCAACATCTTTCTCTCGAATTCTGTCGCTATTTCCAATAATAATATGTAATAATCAACAGATTAAAACGGAGATGGATTCTAGTCAGAAGTCTAGGAGACTTGTCCTTTCTGAAATGACTTTCAAAATTAATTGTAAGCAGAAATGCTTGAGATTTTCTATTGATTTTTCATTAATAACCTAATGTGTGCTATAAGAGAATATTAAAAACAACAATTTTGTATTTGCTAAGTTGATTTATTGGAAGAACTAATTTAAATATATATCTATATTTAATCAAATTAATTTTTAAAAAATATTTTTATTTGACATTATTTTAAGTAAAAAGTAATTCTTTAAGTAAGAATTCATAGGTGCATTTTAATCAATACAATCTATATCCAACATGTTGTGGAGCATAATTTATATTCTATAGCATCCTAATATATGGAAGATAAACACTATTAATGTAGTGAAACTTTAGTAGAATTTTGTACAGAATCATTCATTGTCATACCTATGGTAGCATTATAGTTGTATATTTACTTTTCTTTGTAATCTTCAGTTACTTAGGAACTAAAGCTGATTTTGAGGTATATTAACTTTAAACAATTATTTACAGTAGCTATGCAAGTAATTTAATTTGTATATTGGCAGAAAATGGTGTCAATTTGCACTCTGCATGAAAAGTTTATTGGTATGTATCAATTTGAGGATAAAAATGGAAATTCATACTCAGCTATCTCAAACACAATCTACTGCACATGTATTAAAGTATGCAAATATAAAGATTTTTACTTTATTACTCAAAACAGTGGCTGAATGTTTCACTTCCTTTTGATAGAACGTTGCAGATCTTTTGATTGCTTTAAGTCATACTTTTATACTTACTGTCTTATTTAAATTTTTTTACTTGTTTGCCAAAGTCACATGATTTTGGATTCATTGTTTGCTCACAGATCTTTTGCTCATTGATGGATATCCACGGAATTATTCTATGTCAGCAATTCTCAAAGTTATTAATCTGTGGACCACTTAAACCAAGTCACGGATAAACCACAGATCACCTATGATACGATCCACTTCTTATCCTGCAAATATCATCTTAAAAGGCTTAGGAAACTATAGATTGTGTGCCACAATATTTTCTCTAGCTGGTAACATAGCATAACATCTATGTTTTTCTGGTTAAATAGCATAGAATTGCATTTTGCTGATCAGTCTGTGTGCTTGTTCGTGGACCAGTGGTCTAAGGACCATGCTTTGAAAAACAGCTTTACATTCATTTTGGTGAATCAGTGTTTCACAGTTTTGATTTATTTTAAAGCAAACTTTTGAAAAATCTGAAAGACTGTCTGTGAATTGTAACTATGTATAATTTTTTTATCTTCATACTAATTTTGTTTGTTTCTTTGATAAAAATTTAGATATTCATTATCATTTTAGATAGTCATTATCGAAAGTTTGAAGCCATTTGAGATCAAATTTCAGTTACAATGCATCTAAAGCTCAATGTCTACATAATGCAATTTGCATCTGTGGAATTCATCTATTCCTTTGTTATTTTGGAATATATAAAACAATAATATTGGTTTGTTTCAGTGGCGTGCCGTGACATTTGATGATAGGGAAGCTGTGTTTCTGTAAGAAGCCAACAACCAGGGGCAATCAGTCAATCGCTCGTCAGTGATGGTCTAGGGTCCATTTGTATCGTTTATTCGATAAGCCAGTAAAAACCGCAGACTTTTCTAAATGTATTTTTAATATCAAAATTACATTCCAAATTGCTAGCCACGATATAAGGGCTACAATTAAAAATAAAATAATAAAAACTTACTTGGTGACATAAAATGTGTGGTGGATGTATCGGTACATACCTGGTACAAAATATTCTTCAATTGTACAAATATACTTTTAAAGAAAATTATAATTTAATATATCTCTGTAAAGAAATGTACATAAAAATAAGTACAGTAGACAATAAAAAAATAGTAAATAAAATACAATAAAAAATAGACAATAAAAAATACAGTAGACCCCCCTATAATGCTTAGATACGTTCCACGCTAATCGAATTTTACGTTGTAGGAATGATTAAATACATGAGCCAATCGCAGCCCAATAGGTGGGAACTTTACGGACTAAGGCTGTTCGAAAGGTTTTCTTCTATAAAATTAACCGATTCTAGACTAATTCCACTCAACATTTCCAAAACACATAATTTTTTGGGAATAATCCGTATAAACTATGCTATAAACAAAAAATTATAGGATTACTTACCGAGTGTGTACCGTTCGACTACGCCGTTGCTTAAAGCTGGTTTTCGT